AAGGGATTTGGGAGCATAAAAAAACTGGGAAAAGGGATTTGGGAACATGTAAAGGACACAAAAATCCTGGGAAAAGGGATCTGGGATCCCAAAAAGGACACAAAAAGCCTGGGAAAAGGGATTTGGGGACACCGGGACCTGCGGCGCCGGGCTGGTCAGGCCCACCAGGAGAGCTGGAAAACAGAAAATCCATGGAATTCCAGAAATTCCGGGTGGGAAAAGGGGAAAATATGGAAAAAACGGGGTTAGGAACGCAAAAAAACTGGGAAAAATGGGGTTGAAACACACAAAAATCCTGGGGAAAAGGGGATTGAAAAATACAAAAATCCTGGGGAAAATGAGGTTAGAAAACACAAAAATCCTGGGGAAATGGGAAGGAAAGACACAAAAATCCTGGGGAAAATGGGGTGAGAGACACAAAAACCTAAAAAACAGGGTTGGAGACACATAAAAATCCCGGGAAAAGGGATTTAGGCACACAAAAATCCTGGGAAAAGGGATTTAGGAACATAAGAATCCTGGGAAAACGGATTTAGGAACATAAGAATCCTGGGAAAAGGGATTTGGGGTCCCTAATAGGACACAAAAATCCTGGGAAAAGGGATTTGGGGTCCCAAAAAGGACACAAAAATCCTGGGAAAAAGGGGAATGAAAGACACAAAAATCCTGGGGAAAACGAGGTTAGAAAACACAAAAATCCTGGGGAAAATGGGGTGAGAGACACAAAAACCTAAAAAACAGGGTTGGAGACACATAAAAATCCCGGGAAAAGGGATTTAGGCACACAAAAATCCTGGGAAAAGGGATTTAGGCACACAAAAATCCTGGGAAAATGGATTTAGGAACATAAGAATCCTGGGAAAAGGGATTTGGGGTCCCTAATAGGACACAAAAATCCTGGGAAAGGGGATTTGGGGTCCCAAAAAGGACACAAAAATCCTGGGCAAAGGGATTTGGGGACACCGGGACCTGCGGGGCTGGGCTGGTCAGGCCCGCCAGGAGAGCTGGAAAACATTCCTTCACCCCAAATCTTGCTGCTTTTTACCCCAAAATTTGGCGATTTTTTTGCAAAATTCACTCTTTTTTCCCCAAATTTTAGCTATTTTTACCAAAATTCACATTTTTCACCCCAAAATCACATTCTTTATCCTCCATTTCAGACATTTCATCCTAAATTTGGGGTTTTTCCCCTTCAAAATTCACATTTTTTCCTTAAAAATTCACATTTTTCGCCCTAAAATCCCCATTTTTTTACCAAAAATTCCGGATTTTTTACCAAAATTTTGGTTTTTCGCCCCAAATTTCTGACCTGCGGCGCGGGCAGCCCCTTTCTTGTGGCTGTTCTTGGCCAGGGGCAGCAGCAGCTCCTGCTCCTCGGGCGGCATCTGCGCCACCTTCTGCAGGAAGAGCTTCTCCAGCGTCTGCGCCATCAGCACGATGTCGTCCGTGGGCTGCAAATGGGCCAAAAACACGGGAAAATGGGAAAAAAAATTGAAATTAGAGGTTGGGAAAACTTCTCAGACCTTAACGAATTTTTTAGATTTTTTTCGGAATTTTTTGGACTTTTTTCAGATTTTTTTCTGATTTTTTTTTCCATTTTTTTTTCCATTTTTAAGGATTTTTTTTTCCATTTCTTGAGAATTTTGGGGGTTTTTGGGTGTTTTTGTGCAATTTTTAGGTGTACTTTTAGTTATATTTTGATGTGATTTCGGGCAATTTTTGGGTCTATTTTGGAGTTTTTTAGGCAATTTTTGGGTCTATTTTTAGGTATATTTTGGGGTGGTTTTGGGCAATTTTGGAGTGTATTTTGGGTATTTTTGTGGAAATTTTGGCTGTATTTTTAGGTATATTTTGGGGTGGTTTTGGGCAATTTTGGAGTGTATTTTGGGTATTTTTGTGGAAATTTTGGCTGTATTTTTAGGTATATTTTGAGGCGGTTTTGGCCAATTTCTGTGCGATTTTTGCGCGGTTTTTTGGGTATTTTTGTGGCATTTTTGGGGGGATTGTTTGTGCAACTTTGGTGTGAATTTTTGGGTGGATTTTGGGTGAATTTTTAGGTATATTTTGGGTGGTTTTTTTACAATTTTTGGGTGGATTTTTAGGTATATTTTGGGGTGGTTTGGGGCAATTTTTAGGTATTTTTGTGGCATTTTGCACAGGATTTTTCGGCTGATTTTTTGCAATTTTTGTGCCATTTCTGGGCATTTTTGCGCCATTTTGCATAGAATTTTTTCTGTGATTTTTGTGCAATTTTGGTGTGAATTTTTGGGTGAATTTTGGGTGAATTTTTACACTTTCTGACCTTGTTGTAGATGTAGCAGTTGGTGAACATGGTGTTGATATTTTTCTGGCTATTTTTGGGTGGATTTTGGCTATTTTTGGGCAATTTTGGGGTGGATTTTTAGGTGCATTTTGGGGTGATTTTGGGTGTATTTTTGGCAAATTTTTGGGCATATTTTAGGGTAGTTTTGGGTGTACTTTTGTGGCATTTTCAATGAGATTTTTTGGCTGATTTTTTGTGATTTTTGTGCGATTTTCGCGCCGTTTGGGGTATTTTTGGTGGGATTTTTTTCTGCAATTTTTGTGCAATTTTGGTGTGGATTTTTGGGTGGATTTTGGGTGAATTTTTGCATTTTCTGACCTTGTTGTAGATGTAGCAGTTGGTGAACATGGTGTTGAAGTCCTGCATGCACTCAGCCGCCCCCCAGTAGTAATTGTTCTCCAGGCGCCGCTTGATGGTGCCCATGTCCATGGGCTGCTTGATGATCTTGTGGTAGTCCTGCAGTTTTGGGGCAAAAAAACACATTTTAGGGAAAAAAAATACATTCTGGGGGGAAAAAACCAAATTTTGGGGGAAAAAACCCAAATTCTAGGGGAAAAAGTTCAGCTTTTGGGGGAAAAAAAACCCAAATTTTGGGGGAAAAAACCCAAATTCTGGGGGAAAAAGCTCAGCTTTTGGGGGAAAAAAAACAACGAAATTTTGATGAAAAAAAAACCCCAAATTTTAGGGGAAAAAACCAACAAAATTTTGATGAAAAAAACCCCCAAATTTTTGGGGAAAAATCCCCAAATTCTGGGGCAAAAAATTCAAATTTTGGGGAAAAATCCCCAAATTCTGGGGCAAAAATTCAAATTTTGGGGAAAAATCCCCAAATCCCTTTAAGATCAACCTTAAATCCCTTTTAGGCTCAGCTTTAAACCACTTTAGAATAAGGTTTAAACCAGTTTAGCTTTAAATCCCTTCTAGGCGCAGCTTTAAATCCCTCTTAAGGTCAACCTTAAATCCCTTTTAGGCACAGCTTCACATCACTTTTAGGCTCAGCCTAAAGTTAATCTCAGGCCTAAACAAAGAGAGAATTTTCAAACTGACACCTGTGCCTGACAGGGACAAAATTTAGGCTGAGGACAAAAAGGATGAGGGACAAAACCCAACACCCAAAACCCCCTAAAAACCCCAAAACCCCCCAAAAATTTTTACCAGTAAGCCGAGCTTAACGGCGTCCATGGGGTGGCAGGAACTCATTTTAGAACCAGCTTTAAGTCACTTCTAGGATGAGGTTTAAATCACTTTAGGCTCAACTTTAAATCACTCTTAGGATCAAGTTTAAACCAGTTTTAAGTGCAGCTTTAAATCACTTTAGGATCAGCTTTAAACCACTTTTAGGACCAGCTTTAAATCCCTTTTAGGACCAGCTTTAAATCCCTTTTAGGCTCAGCTTTAAATCCCTTTTAGGCTCAGCTTTAAATCCCTTTTAGGCTCAGCTTTAAATCCCTTTTAGGCTCAGCTTTAAATCCCTTTTAGGCTCAGCTTTAAATCACTTTAAGGATCAGGTTTATATTAGTTTTAGGCTCAGCTTTAAATCACTCTTAGGATCAGATTTAAATCCCTTTTAGGCTCAGCTTTAAATCACTTTAGGATCAGGTTTAAACCACTTTTAGGCTCAGTTTTAAATCACTTCAATCTCAACTTTAAATCCCTTTCTGGATCAACTTTAAATCACTTTTAGGCTCAGCTTTAAATCCCTTTAAGATCAGCCTTAAATCACTTTCAGGATGAGGTTTAAATCCCTTTTAGGCTCAGCTTTGAAACACTTTTAGGATCAGTTTTAAATCACTCTCAGGATCAGCTTTAAAACACTTTAAGGATCAAGTCTAAACCAGTTTTAGGGTCAGCTTTAAATCACTTTAGGATCAGCTTTAAATCCCTTTAAGGATCAGTTTTAAACCACCTTCAGGACCAAATTTAAAACCCTTTTAGGATCAGCTTGAAATCCCTTTTAGGATCAGCTTTAAACTCCTTTTAGGCTCAGCTTTAAATCCCTTTTAGGCTCAACTTTAAATCGCTTCTAGGCTCAGCCTAAAGTTAATCTCAAGCCTAAACACAGAACTTCAATGTTGACACCTGTGCCTGAGAGGGACAAAACTTGAGCTGAGGTGGAGCAGGATCAAAGACAAAACCCAAAACCCAAAATCCCCTAAAAAAACCCCAAAACCCCCAAATCTTTACCGGTAAGCCGAGCTTAACGGCGTCCACGGGCTGGCGGAAGGGCCAGGCGAACTGGTGCTTCCAGAGCGCCTTCATGACCACCTTGTGCAGGTACTGCAGCTGGTTGGTGACGCGGCCCGGCTTCTTGGGGTTGGACACCTCGGGCGGCGGCGGGTTGGCCGGCGGCGCCGCCAGCGACGGCACCGACGCCATCGTGGGGCTCTCGAAGCCCTCGTAGAGCAGCGAGGGCTTGCGGATGCGCTTGCCCGGCGCCGAGTCCGTGGCCAAGGCCATGAGGGCGGCATTGCCCTCGCCCAGAATCCTGGAAAGAGGTAAATAAAGGGTTAAAAATAAAGTTCCTGGAGTTTCGGGAAGAAATTCCTACAAAAAACGGGAAATTGAGGCAAAAAACGCGGTTAAAACCGGTTTTAAGTGGTGAAAATGGACTGAAATCTGCAATTGCGCTGTTAAAACCGGTTCTAAGTGCATAAATGGAGGGAAATCTGCAATTCTGTTGTTAAAACCGGTTTTAAGTGGTAAAAATGGAGAGAAATCGACAAATCCGCTGTTAAAACTGGTTCTAAATGGTGAAAATGGAGAGAAATCGACAAATCCGCGGTTAAAACCGGTTCTAAGTGTGGAAACTGACCAGAAATCTGCAAGTCCCCTCTTAAAACCGGTTTTAAATGGTGAATATGGAGAGAAATCGACAAATCCGTTGTTAAAACTGGTTCTAAGTGTGGAAATTGACCAAAGATCAAGTCCGCTGTTAAAATTAGTCCTAAGTGTTAAAACCGGTTCTAAAGGTGGAAACTGACCGGAAATACTCAAGTCCGCTGTTAAAACTGGTCCTAGCTGTTAAAACCAGTCCTAAATCCGCAATTCCACTGCTAAAACCGATGCTAAATGGGGTAAAAACCGATCCTAAATCTGCAATTTTTCTGCTAAAACCAATCCTAAATGGAATTAAAACCAGTCCTAAATCCATAATTCCACTGGTAAAACCGATCCTAAATCCCCAACTCTGCTGCTAAAACCGATCCTAAATCCGCAATTCCGCTGCTAAAACGAATCCTAAATCCACAATACCACTGCTAAAACCGATCCTAAATCCACAATTCCGCTGCTAAAACCTATCCTAAATCCCCAATTCCACTGCTAAAACCGATCTTAAATGGGGTTAAAACCGATCCTAAATCCACAATTCCACTGCTAAAACCGATCTTAAATGGGGTTAAAACCGATCCTAAATCCACAATTCCGCTGCTAAAACCCAACCTAAATCCACAATTCCACTGCTAAAACCGAACCTAAATCCGTAATTCCACTGCTAAAAGTCATCCTAAATAGGGTTAAAACCGATCTTAAATCCCCAATTCCGCTGCTAAAACCGAGCCTAAACGGGGTTAAAACTGATCCTAAACCTGCAATTCCGCTGCTAAACCTGCTCCTAAGTGCTAAAACCGCTCCTAAATCCCCAAATCCCCCCCACCAATCCCCATTTCCCGCCCGATCTCGGGCACAAACTCCCGGAATTCGGGGCAGGAGATCCTGAGGATCCCGGGCAGAAATTCCCCAGATTTTGGTCTGGAAATTTTGGGAATTTCAGACCAAAATTCCCGAAATTTTGGCCATAAAATCCTGGGAATTTCGGACAAAAATTCCATGGAATTTCAGCCGAAAAATCAGATTAATTTTTCCATGAACTCCAAGGAATTTTAACCAAAAATTTCGGGAATTTTGGTCAGAAAATCAGGACAAAAAAACCTGAGGATTTTGGGGATCCCAAAGATTTGGGGAATTGATCCCAGGATTTGGGGACATCGATCCCAAGGATTTGGGGACATTGATCCCAGGATTTGGGGACATCGATCCCAGGGATTTGGGGACACTCTTTCCCCAGAGCTGACCTCTGCGTGACCCCAGGACTGTCCCCAAGGTCACGACCTCGGTGACAAGGACAGGGTGACCCCGGTGACACGGTGACAGTTTGGGGTTCCATGTCACTGTCACAATCAGGGGGTGACACTGCCACAGCTTGGAGTCCCAATGTCACTGTCACAGTCTCAAGGTGACACTGCCACAATTCGGGGGTGACACTGCCACAATTTGAGGGTGACGCTGCCATAATTTGGGGTTCCATGTCACTGTCACAGACAAAGTGACACTGCCAGAGTTCGGGGGTGACACTGCCACAATTTGGGGTCCCAGTGTCACTGTCACAATCGGGGGTGACACTGCCACAGTTTGGGGTTCCAATGTCACTGTCACAGACTCAGGGTGACACTGCCAGAGTTTGGGGGTGACACTGCCACAGCTTGGAGTCCCAATGTCACTGTCACAGGCTCAGGGTGACACTGCCAGAGTTTGGGGGTCCCAAAGTGACACTACCATGACCTGGGGTGGCACTGCCACAATTTGGGGTCCCCATGTCACTGTCACAGCCTAAAGGTGACATAAACCCTACACAGACACCCGACAGTGACACTGCCACAATTCGGGGGTGACACTGCCATAATTTGGGGTCCCAATGTCACTGTCACAGGCTCAGGGTGACACTGCCACAGCCTGGGGTGACACTGCCACAGCTTGGAGTCCCAATGTCACTGTCACAGTCTCAAGGTGACACTGCCACAATTCGGGGGTGGACCCAGCACAGGGTGTTCCTCAGTACCACAACCACAATTCGGGGGTCCCCATGTCACTGTCACACCATGGGGGTGACACAAACCCAGCATGGGGGTCCCACAGTGTCACAACCAGGATTTGAGTGTCCCCATGCCACTGTCACAATTTGGGGGTGACACACACCCAGCACAGGGTGTCCCTCAGTGTCACTGCCACAATTTGGGGGTCCCCCTGTCACTGTCACACCATGGGGGTGACACAAACCCAGCATGGGGGTCCCACAGTGTCACAACCAGGATTTGAGTGTCCCCATGCCACTGTCACAATTTGGGGGTGACACACACCCAGCACAGGGTGTCCCTCAGTGTCACTGCCACAATTTGGGGGTCCCCCTGTCACTGTCACACCATGGGGGTGACACAAACCCAGCACGGGGGTCCCACAGTGTCACAACCACGATTTGAGTGTCCCAATGTCACTGTCACAGCATTGAGGTGACACAAACCCAGCACAGGGATCCCAGTGTCACTGTCACACCATGGAGGTGACATAATCCCATTATGGGGTCCCACAGTGTCACAACCATGATTTGAGTGTCCCCATGTCACTGTCACAATTTGGGGGTGACACACACCCAGCACAGGGGTCCCCCTGTCACTGTCACAGCATGGAGGTGACATAATCCCATTATGGGGTCCCACAGTGTCACAACCATGATTTGAGTGTCCCCATGTCACTGTCACAATTTGGGGGTGACACACACCCAGCACAGGGGTCCCCCTGTCACTGTCACAGCATGGGGGGTGACACAGACCCAGCACGGGGGTCCCACAGTGACACTGCATCCTGTGGGGGTCCCATTGTCCCTGCCTCAGTTTGGAGAGTGACACAAGCCCAGCTCGGAGGTCCCACGGTGACACTGCCACAATCTGGGGTCCCAATGTCACTGTCACAGAATGGAGGTGACACCCCCCCCAGTCCAGGGGTCCCACGGTGACACTGCCACAATTTGGGGTCCCAATGTCACTGTCACAGACTCAGGGTGACACTGCCACAGTTCGGGGGTCCCACGGTGACACTGCCACAATTTGAATGTCTCGATGTCACTGCCACAGCCTGGGGGTGACACTGTCACAAACTGGGGGTGACACTGCCACAACCTGGGGTCCCATTGTCCCTGTCACAGCCTCAGGTGACATTGTCACAGACTGAGGGTGACACTGCCACAATTTGGGGTCCCATTGTCCCTGTCACAGACTGAGGGTGACACCGCCACAGTTCGGGGGTCCCACAGTGACACTGCCACAATTTGGGGGTCCCAATGTCACTGTCACACCACAGGGGTGACATAAACACAGAAAAAAGGTCCCACAATGACACTGACAGGATTTAGGGGTCCCCATGTCACTGTCACAGCCTAAAGGTGACACAAACCCAGCATGGGGGACCCACAGTGACACTGACAGGATTTAGGGGTCCCTATGTCACTGTCACAAACTCGGGGTGACACAGGCCCACAACACGGGTCCCACAATAGCACTGCCACAATTTGGGGGTACCAATGTCCCTGTCACAGCATGGGGGTGACACAAACCCAGCATGGGGGTCCCACACTGATGCTGCCACAATCTGGGGGTCCCCATGTCACTGTCACAGCATTGGGGTGACACAAACCCAGCACAGCCACCCCTCAGTGACACTGACAGGATTTGGGGGTCCCAATGTCACTGTCACACCATGGGGGTGACACAAACCCAGCATGGGGGTCCCACACTGATGCTGCCACAATCTGGGGGTCCCCATGTCACTGTCACAGCATTGGGGTGACACAAACCCAGCACAGCCACCCCTCAGTGACACTGACAGGATTTGGGGGTCCCAATGTCACTGTCACACCATGGGGGTGACACAAACCCAGCATGGGGGTCCCACACTGATGCTGCCACAATTTGGGGGTCCCCATGTCACTGTCACAGCATTGGGGTGACACAAACCCAGCACAGCCCACTGTCACAGCCTAAAGGTGACACAAACCCAGCACGGGGGTCCCACAGTGACACTGCCATGACTTAGGGGTCCCAATGTCACTGTCACACCATGGGGGTGACACAGACCCAGCACGGGGGTCCCACAGTGACACTGACAGGATTTAGGGATCCCCATGTCACTGTCACAGCCTAAAGGTGACACAAACCCAGCATGGGGGACCCACAGTGACACTGACAGGATTTAGGGGTCCCTATGTCACTGTCACAAACTCGGGGTGACACAGGCCCACAACACGGGTCCCACAATAGCACTGCCACAATTTGGGGGTACCAATGTCCCTGTCACAGCATGGGGGGGACACAGACCCAGCATGGGGGTCCCACACTGATGCTGCCACAATCTGGGGGTCCCAATGTCACTGTCACAGCATGGGGGGGACACAGACCCAGCATGGGGGTCCTACACTGATGCTGCCACAATCTGGGGGTCCCCATGTCACTGTCACAATTTGGGGGTGACGCAGGTCCAGCACAGTGGTCCCACAGTGCCACAACCAGGATTTGAGTGTCCCCATATCACTGTCACAGCATTGGGGTGACGCAAACCCAGCACAGCCACCCCACTGTGACACTGCCATGATTTGGGGGTCCCTATGTCCCTGTCACAGCGTGGAGCTGACACAAACCCAGCAGGGCCACCCCACAGTGACACTGCCACAATTCGGGGGTCCCAGGGTCACTGTCACAGCATGGAGGTGACACAATGACCCGGGCAGGATTTGGGGGTCCCCATGTCACTGTCACAGCATTGGGGTGACGCAAACCCAGCACAGCCACCCCACTGTGACACTGCCATGATTTGGGGGTCCCTATGTCACTGTCACAGCGTGGAGCTGACACAAACCCAGCAGGGCCACCCCACAGTGACACTGCCACAATTCGGGGGTCCCAGTGTCACTGTCACAGCATGGAGGTGACACAATGACCCAGGCAGGATTTGGGGGTCCCCAGGTCATTGTCACAGCATGGGGGGGACACAAATCCAGCACGGGAACCCCACAGTGCCACCACCACAACCTGAGTGTCCTCATGTCACTGTCACAGCGTTGGGGTGACACAACCACCCCACAGTGCCACCACCACGATTCGGGGGTCCCAGTGTCACTGTCACAGCATGGAGGTGACACAAACCCAGCACAGCCACCCCTCAGTGACACTGACAGGATTTGGAGGTCCTCATGTCACTGTCACCATTTGGGGGTGACACAACCACCCCACAGTGCCGCCACCACAATTCGGGGGTCCCAGTGTCACTGTCACACCACGCAAGCCCCACAACCCCACCACCACCACCCCAATTCCGCTGTCCCACGGCGCACCCCCTCCCCAAAATCCCCTCCGCGTCCCCTCGCCGCCAGCACCTACTTGCTCTGGGGATTCACATTCTGCAACATCCCGGCGGCTGCTGCTGCTGCTCGCGGGCCCGCCCGGCCTTCGTCTCCTCCTCCTCCTCCTCCTCCCGCCGTCTCCTCCGACGAGCCCCCCACTTTGCCCGGCCAAAGCTCCTCCGCTGCCGGCCCGGTCGGGGCCTCCCCAGCGTCAGCGCATCGCCGGTTCCCGGGGAGGGGGGTCTTGCCGGGAGCCCCCTCCCCTCTGCGAGCTGCTCGGGCGGCGGCGGCGGCCGGGGCTCGGCCTCACATCCACGGGGGCGCGGCGAAAATGGCGGCGCGCTCTGAGGGGATGCACCGGGGGGCGCGCGGGGATGGACGAGGGCGGTGGAGGCGGCGGCAGAATGGCGGGGAGAGGCGGCGGAGGGTGGGGGGGGATCGTTCTTCGGAGCCTCACCGGACCCGCCGAACGCGGCGCGATCCGCTCGATACAACCCCGGCCGAGTCGCTGCCCGCCGCCGGCGGCCGCGGGAGGGAAGGAAGAGGCGCGGAGCCGCGCTCGGAGCGGCGGATGACGGCGGATATCGCGGCGGGATCTCAGCGGCCGCGCTCCATCTTGGCTCGCTGAGGGAAGGAGCGGCTGAGGGGAGGGGGGGGGTTGGAGGGAAGGTGGTGGAAGAAGAAGCCGGGCGGAGGCGTCCCCCTCGCCGCCGGTGGCCGCAGGCAGGGGTCGCTGCGGAGGCCGGGGAGGGTCCGGGGAGGGTCCCGGAGCCCTCCGGGACGGCGGAGGCGGGGGATGGAGCCGGGTTGGGGCCGCCCCCCTCGCGCGCCGGGCCCGACCCGCTCCGTCCCTTCGTCCCCGCGAAATGGCGCCGCTCGGCCTGCCCCCGCCCGCCCTTATATAGACGAGCGCCGCCTCGCCATTGGCCGCCCCGCGCGCTGACGTCACCCAACCGCCCCGCCCCGCCCCGCCGCGGCCTCATTGGGCGGAGGCACCCGCGGGGAGCGGCTGCGATTGGGCGCGCGCCGCGTCAATCAACGGCGGGGCTCCCCGCCCCTCCCGGTCTTCCGCCCAGCGCCTCACCCGCCGCGCGCGGCCGCCTCGGCGTTGATTGGCTGGCGCCGGCGCCCGCTGCGCGCTGATTGGGCGACGGGCCGCGCGGGGG